TCCCGATGAACTATTTTGAAAGAGAAGATAAAAGCTTACTAGTTAATGAAAGAATATAAGACAAAAAATTAGCTTTTATATAGCCCAAGTTCTTTCTAACAATATACGAATGCAAACATAATTTATGCAAATATAAATAACAGACAATTATAAACAAGCATCAGTGATGATCAAAGTTAAAGAGTTATAAAAACTCTGTCGTTTACATTTCTATTAATTCTCTTTCGGAATAGAGAATACATCAAAACCATTTTCAATATATCTTTAATGTGTTGTTAAGGCTAAATACCGCATGTAGTAATGAAATTAAGATCACATGCTAGTCAAATGGCATTGATTCATTAAACAAGCATGTTGTTTGTTATATAGATTTAAATAAGTTCATACACTACAACTTGAATTTGAACTTCTAATAACAATATATTTCGTTGTTCTTAGGTTTTTCCTAATAATATACACGTAGGACAAATATAATCTCTTCTTCAAATACGTCTACTTTATCTGCTTTGGTTTTATATATATTTCCCCGCGTACATGTGAGTCACTTGAAAATTTAAAACATACGAGTTAGTGGGGTGCGCCGGGTCCTTGCAATAGTGCAACGCATGGACGACGCTTGAAGAACCCAATAGCAAGCTATTGCAGCGGCTCTTCCCCCTTAAAAAAGTAATTTAATATCATGTGAGTCATTGACTCACGTATCAGATATTAAACTGATAAGAACAGATACTACACTTGATCTTAGCCAAAAGGCCGAGAAAGGTATGAATTCTTCCTCGCCCCCAGCTCTCTTTTTGTAGTACCCTTTTAGCATCTCCAGCATCTCTCCCAGCCAATGTGGGACAAAAGCACCCACTGTCATTACTCTTCAAATATCTTTATTCATTTTTTGAACTCCACGCACTGACAATACTCTCGACCTCTGCACATGACCCACCCGCCCACACATTAATTTATATTAATGTATTCATCAAGTTTAAATACCACAAAAAGTAAATGGAATTAACACATCACATGAGACATAAATATTTACTTTACTTCATTAAAAGAAATTCAATTTATTAAATCTCTTCTAATTTAGACATATATACATATATGGTAAAGATATATACAATTTATATATGATAAGCTATTATTAAAATCACATATACGGAATAAAACTAATGAACATAATTGTCAAAACTAAAAATGCATGCATCTATATATCTAAATATACACACGCAAAAATTGATCAACATGACAATAATCTTAATATTTATGATAAATTAATGACGAAAAAAACACACGAAATCAATAATTTTATTTCGTTTGATAAATTAATCAAAACTCTCTATTAATTTTAGATTAAAAGCTTATTGTTAATTAAAACTAGATATTCAATTATGTAACACATTGCTCGAACATATGGTTGTTATTAATATATAAATAATTATGTATATTTTAATTCAGAAATTATTACTGATTAATACTTTTTTAATACAAATTTAAATTATATCATATTTATCACAAATATAGTATATCGTTATGGAATTTAATTAAATATAAAATGGAATAATACAAAATATTTTATCAAGAAAAATTTTAACCTTTGGAAGCCTATCCTACTCAAATAAATTAATTGCCAACCAGTTTGTGTCCCTATTTGATAACGAACTACTTTTTCTTAATTAACCCCCGATATGGTATACGAAGTTGTATTCACGTTGATGAAACTGTACCTTCGTAAATTTTGCATTTTAAGTGCTAGTTTTCTACTTTGTCATAATGTTTTACGTGGACTATCATAGTTTTGATATGATCATTTTTTTTTATGAGAAGATCTAATGATTTATGGTGGGGAGGCGTGGATAGGAGGTATTTTCATGTTCATTAAATTTATAATACATAGATATACTTTACTTTAAGCAAACTTCAACCTCGTGTTGAATAATCCGACAGCATGCTATTGTAGTAGCTCTTCCACCCTAAAAAACTTAGTTTAGTAACATGCGAGCCAACGACTCACGCATCAGATAATAAGCTGATAAGAACATATTCCATAATTGATATTCGCCAAGAGGCCGAGTGAAATTCTTCTGAGCCGTCCTCCGATTCCATGTTGAAATTCATATAACTATTTTATTGTTGTTCTCACTAGATTTCAACATGGAATGAATAACGTAATATAATCATTTTTTTATACAAAAAAATAATAATAAAAAAATAACAAAAATAATCAGATATGACCATTACATAATCCGAGCCAAAAAACATCGAGTGTTTTGAAACATGACGATGTTGGTGCTTCCCCAAGAGAAATGGTTGAAAATGTGATTTCTTACTTGGAGCAAAAAGGGTACTTGCACGCATAAAAAACTGGTGACAGTATCTGGATTTCCTTCAATTCTATAACTAATGAACCATAATGGAGGAGACCACTGGTTTCTTTGAATGCATGTTCCGGTATCATTAGCTTTCAGGATTATATGTGAAATGATTAGAGTATTAACCAGCCTACTCTTCATTCTCTTATCCTTTTCTTTATTTCTATGATTTGTATGCATAGTAGAGATTTGTTTGGTCCCCCTTCCGCCCATCCTTCATGTTACAGCAAGAAAGTGCATGTGTATCTCCACTCCCAGTCGAATATTCTTTTTTACTTCCATCTGAATCTCGAAAAATGCTATTATACCTCAGGAAGAATGGTGCATTCTCAAGTTTTATGTAGACTGATATATCAAGCATGTATTATCACATCTTCTCATCAATTGTAAGCTGGAACATTTTGATGATGTGTTGCATACTTGTTATATTATCAATATAACTTCCTTGGTTCGCAACACATGGATTTGGGAACTTTTTTTTTTTTTAATTTTGAGAAGTGGGAATTTGTTATTTTTAAATGTAGTTATTTGTATCGTGTGTATACATATATAAATAAATATGAATAATCACTAAAATTGTACTTGAGCCTATTATACTATTGTTCAATTATGAGTTACTTTATACTAAGAAGTGAGTTATAATTTACAACAATAATGCATGATTAAATTAGTTTCATTAGTATCTCTAATTTAATAACCATAGACTATTGTATTCTCACATATAAAATTAAAATCAGAGAAACATCAAACTTTTACTTTACAATTGGTCTATTTATTCTAATTCGTTTTCTAGATTTTGGTACTTAGTTTATAGATATTAATCTTATTTTATAATTTTATATGTAATTAAATTAACTTTTTTTTTTCTAATTTTCAATAAGTTGATAGAATTGAGTTGTTATTTTTATTCAAAATAAAAAATTATTTTTTATTATTTAAATACAATTTTAATAAAAAAATCACATTTATTAAGTTCTTAGACCAAATTATATTTAAAAATATTTGAAATTTGAAAAAAAATATTTGTTCCAGAACCAGGATGGTCTTCTCCTCCTTGTATTGTTATTCTTCATACATTATCCACTTGGCCTTCATAGTTATTCTCTTGCTTTATTTTCTACATAACATAAACATAGTAAAAATTAAGGCAATTTTCTTTCATTATCCATGGGATCTTTCTTCTCAGGTTTTGATTTTTAGAAATCTTTTCTTTTTCTATCTTTTTTGCATGTGAAAGAAAATTTATAGCGAAATTGGGGGAATTTATTTTTTCTTGAAATTGAGGAGATTCTTGCTTATAATTTGGTTTCGGATGAGAAATTGACAAATCGGCATTCGGATAATTCGAGTTTCCTCTTCTTCTCTTTGAAATTAATTAGTGATTTTCTTTCGCTGGCTTGTACAGTAAAGAAAATAAAATAAAAGAATTGTTTGATATATCAGTATATATAAAATTTGAGGATGTACCATTCTTCATAAGATATAATAGCATTTTTTCTTCTTTTTTTCACTATTTTCTTTATCGAACAAGTCAGTCAGCTTTCTAGAAGAAATTTTTCACACTTTCTCAAGGTCATGACATTCTTTTACACCTGAAAGCGATTTCCAATTTCTAAACCACCGTGGCATTCTCCTCATTATGTGTACTTTTCTTCATACACTACAATATCATGTTCATTCTCGTAATATCGTACCTTATTTTTCATATCACATAAACACAAAATAAAAAGTAAATCAGCTTGCTTTCCTTCTTTCTTTATCCATAATTTTTTTTTTTTAGATTTCGAGAGAATTTATTTTTCTTAAAATCAAGGAAATTTTTATTTGTAATTCGATTTTGGAGAAAAAATTGGCAAATCACCGTGCGGGTAATATGATTGTATTATAATGTAAATTTCTAAAATGATCATACCATATACATAGATAAATATATATATATATATACATGAACATACGTTACTACTTATGTTCATAAATTTCAAAAATAATTGTGCAATATGTGTACGCATATGTAGTATACAATTTTACTACGAATATAACAGTTTTTTTATTTATTTTATTTTTTCTTTTGTGCTAAATTTCTGTTGATGGGTATATATCCGAAAAGATTAAAAAAAATTATTACTTCAAATTCAACCGAAACACATAAGCACCAGAATTACCAAACTAGTAGTTCTCTTCTCCGTTTCATCACAACAAAAATAAAAAAAAAAAACAAATAATAAATCAAAATCTCTAGCTATCTTCATAAATGAAGATATTACATTATTCGCTATCAATATGTTGTATGCATATATATATATATATTTAAATTATATGCAATAAATATTTTCATTTAGAATTAAGAATTGGAAAAAAAATTATTGATCAACTTCCAATGCGTATAAATTTTTAAATTATATACAATATTTTTATTAGAATTAAAATTCCAAAGAACAGAATAAAAAGATGGTTGTTGAATTTAGGAGGTCCATCAGGTGTTAAAGGAGACCTGAAGAGCACCGGCCCGTAATCCTTCCAAGAAGGGGAGCGGGAGGTTTTCGATGTTTTGTTTCCAGCCTCACGCGGTCCCCTCCGATTTAAGAGAGGCGAGCCCCAAGCCTACGTTGGAGGGCACGCAACTTGATTATCCCCTTGGAACGGGCGGGTCAGATTTTAATCCCTTCGCAGCTCAACCTTTTGGACCTATCCAACCTCCCACCATTTTAATGCCCCCACTTGGGTGACAAGCCCGCGTTGCCAAGCCCGGTGGTTGACAGCTGCTTATAGCCAATATATAGAGACGAATTGTATATTATAAATACGCAATGTGGGAGTGAGACTTACATTTAAAAGTTGAGGTCGCTTACCCTGACTATGAACAGCTTATGTGGTAGCTTCATAAATTTCGTACCTGAGTGCTTGTTTTTCACTCTGCAAAAAGGTTCTTATGTGTGGGATAAGAGATTTAGATATGGTTTGATTAAGTTGTTGACGAGAACTTGTGATGATTCATGAACTTGTGATGTCTTTTCTTATTGATATAAGACGCGTACGCTTGTAAAATCTGAATATCCCGATGAACTCTTTTGAAAGAGAAGATAAAAGCTTACTAGTTAATCAAATAATATAAGACAAAAAATTAGATTTTATATAGCCCAAGTTCTTTCTAACAATATACGAATGCAAACATAATTTATGCAAATATAAATAACAGACAATTATAAACAAGCATCAGTGATGATCAAAGTTGAAGAGTTATAAAAACTTTGTCGTTTACATTTCTATTAATTCTCTATCGGAATAGAAAATATATCAAAACCATTTTCAATATATCTTTAATGTGTTGTTAAGGCTAAATACCGCATGTAGTAATCAAATTAAGATCACATGCTAGTCAAATGGCATTGATTCATTAAACAAGCATGTTGTTTGTTATATAGATTTAAATAAGTTCATACACTACAACTTGAATTTGAACTTCTAATAACAATATATTTCGTTGTTCTTAGGTTTTTCCTAATAATATACACGTAGGACAAATATAATCTCTTCTTCAAATACGTCTACTTTATCTGCTTTGGTTTTATATATATTTCCCCGCGTACATGTGAGTCACTTGAAAATTTAAAACATACGAGTTAGTGGGGTGCGCCGGGTCCTTGCAATAGTGCAACGCATGGACGACGCTTGAAGAACCCAATAGCAAGCTATTGCAGCGGCTCTTCCCCCTTAAAAAAGTAATTTAATATCATGTGAGTCATTGACTCACGTATCAGATATTAAACTGATAAGAACAGATACTACACTTGATCTTAGCCAAAAGGCCGAGAAAGGTATGACTTCTTCCTCGCCCCCAGCTCTCTTTTTGTAGTACCCTTTTAGCATCTCCAGCATCTCTCCCAGCCAATGTGGGACAAAAGCACCCACTGTCATTACTCTTCAAATATCTTTATTCATTTTTTGAACTCCACCCACTTACAATACTCTCCACCTCTGCACATGACCCACCCGCCCACACATTAATTTATATTAATGTATTCATCAAGTTTAAATACCACAAAAAGTAAATGGAATTAACACATCACATGGGACATAAATATTTACTTTACTTACTTCATTAAAAGAAATTCAATTTATTAAATCTCTTCTAATTTAGACATATATACATATATGGTAAAGATATATACAATTTATATATGATAAGCTATTATTAAAATCACATATACGGAATAAAACTTATGAACATAATTGTCAAAACTAAAAATGCACAAATTGATCAACATGACAATAATCTCAATATTTACGAGAAACTAACGATAAAAAAAACACACGAAACCGATAATTTTATTTCGTTTAACAAATTAATTAAAAATCTCTGTTAATTTTAGATTAAAAGCTTCTTGTTAATTAAAACTAGATATTCAATTGTACAACATATTGTTCGAGTATATAGTTATTATTAATATACAGATAATTATATGTATTTTAATTCAGAAATTATTACTGATTAATACTTTTTGAATAGAACTTTAAATTATATTATATTTATCACAAATATAGTATATCGTTATGGAATTTAATTAAATATAAAATGGAATAATACAAAATATTTTATCAAGAGAAATTTTAACCTTTGGAAGCCCAACCTACTCAAATAAATTAATTACCAACTAGTTTGTGTCCCTATTTGATAACGAACTACTTTTTCTTAACCAATAAACGATGTGAGATACGGAGTTACATTCACGTTGATGAAGCTGTACCTTCGTAAATTTCGCATTTTAAGTGCTAGTTTTCTACAACTTGAATTTGAAGTTCTAATAAATATATTTTACTTTTAATTGAAAAGTTATTTGATTGATCTTACCAAAAGTATTATAATAGTTCATTTATTTGATTGAATTTTTCTAAGTAAATATTACGAATTTTTTGAATTATATTTAATTTAGTATCTTATTTACGATGTCCATGTAACTTGAAATTCCATATGCTAAGCCTTGTACGAAATACAATAGTTTATATTTGACCTACGGATACACATTCTCTGGGTACTTTGCTGTGGTTCTTACTGGGATACATCCAGAAATGCCAAACTGATTAATTTTCCAGGATTCTGTTTTACCATTTTGCATTACAGATTCTGCTTAGTTGAAATGTTACTTTCTGTTGTTGGATCGTACCTTGTTGTTTCTTGGTTTGAGCAAGCAACCAAAAACCAACAACTCAAAAAAGTTATCGCTTCTCGCTTAGAATAACAGAAAGCATTTTTATCTGTTTATAATTTTGAGTTACCTTAGGTAACTGTCTCTCTGTCATCTGTAATTTTTGTGACCAGAAGTTCATTTTGAACTAGATGAGGTATTTCTCCATTATCCCCACTTCATGTCTATGCTCTTCATTTTATAGCTCATAGTTTCGAATCTTATTACAGGGAAGAGTACTTTGGCATGTGCTTTAAGCCAGAGCTTGTACCAGAGGGGAAAGTTGTGTTATATTCTTGATGGTGACAATGTGAGGCACGGTTTGAATCGTGACCTCAGTTTTAAAGCAGGGGACCGCGCCGAGAACATACGAATCGTTGGTAAGTGTTAATGGAATGGATGTGTTTACTTTTTAAATTTTTTCATAAATAATTAGCTTTAACTTTTTACATAAAGAATTAACTACACATTATGCTGTGACTATTATGAGGTCCATGCTCTAAATATATTACTGACTAGTGAGAAAAATCAATGATG